ACCTGTTCCTCTCCTCCTTTACAAAGGTACAGAGAATGCCAGTGAGAAATATATAAGCACTCAAGGATGTGTGCTAATCAAAATGTTCAAATCATATGTTACAGGTAACGTGTGACGCTGACTCCTACCATGAGTTCATGCCCTTTGAACCTTCCTTCCTGGTGACAGTCCTGTGTTCAAACTCCGGCTTCTGCCCCAAAATGCTGACCTGTGTGAATAAATCTCAGAGTTATCCTCGTGAGATGTGTCAGAGTCGAACGCTGCACTGAATCTGGGAGGAACTCATGTCTGCTGAGACCTTTTGGAGCTTGTTTGGGACTATTGAACCATTGGAGCTGCTCACTGTTTAGTAAAAGAAGGTCATTCCAGAAATCATAAAGCTTTTTATATTCACTTGTTAAGTAATGGGTTTAGAAAAGTCACATATACATACATTTAAGCAATATTATCACATTTGATAAATCATGTACAGAATGATGAACAGTTAAAGCCTGCTTGGTGGATGTGTTCTCTCACAGCACTTAGAAAATTGACCACGCTTTTACTATAGTATTGAATTTTGGGGGAAATGTTGATTCATACAAAATAATATTTTTTGGGAAGGGAGGGAATCTCATACATTTTTTTTTTAAACTACAACTAGCATAGTTTGTTTACAGAGTTACACTGGTTTACATGTGGTTACTGTAAATACCACAGTTAAACTGGTTACTATACAGGATTCATGGTAAATTTTTACCAAGGAAGGAGAGCATTTCACCAAGTAAAAGTGATTCCAGTTGTAATTCATTAATGATGGATAATTGTGCTCTTTATTCTCTCTATTGTAAATACAGTTTGATGTCTAAAGTCTGAATGTATCATGAATGCCACTCTTATTTTTTAAATGTATTATATTTGGATGAAACATAAAAAAAAGTATTTTTTGCATGTGTGCTTTTTGGTCTGTAGTCAAGGAATTTCATACATATAACATACTATTTAACGTTTTAGCGCAGAACATTAATCAGTACCAAAAATTAAAGGATTATGTACATGAAATTGAACAATATATAATTATCTTAATCTCAAAAGCAAAAAAAGAGATTACATTAAAATGCAAAATACATCGATTTAATAAATAAATCATTTTGACTCAGGAAAGTCCTAATAATTGGGAAATGTCTTTCTCATGATTATGAATTATTTCAGTTTCGAAGAGAAAATGGTCAAATCCAGTGTGATATTTAACGTTAAAGGAATAGTTCACCAAAAATGAAAATTTGCTGATAAATTACTTGCCCTCAGGCCATCCAAGATGTAGGTGAGTGTGTTTCTTGGAGAAATGTAACATTACATCACTTGTTCACCAGTGGATCCTCTGCAGTGAATGGGTGCCGTCAGAATGAGTGTTCAAACAGCAGATAAAGTAGGCTACTCGACACAACTCCAGTCCATCAAGTAACGTCTTTTGTTGTGAAAAGCTGCGTGTTTGCTGTGTGTAAGAAACAAATCCATCAGACATTTTTAACCTTGAAACTTTTGCTTCTGGCTAAAATATGAGTTCTTTATCCACAATATTGCTTTCTCCCGTGGAAAAGTCAACTCGTCTGAATCAGGGGAGAAATATGCACAGATCAAGCACCATTTACAAGCAAAAACAATCCAAAATAGTGCTAAATAAATATGTAGGTGGACTTTGAAGTGTTTTGAAGTGTTATTATGGATTATGCTATCGCCAAAGCGACCGTTTAAAGTTAAAATTCCTTTTTTCTAACAAGCTCACAACTTTTACTTTAGAAGTGAACTGATGGACTAAAGTTATGTGCATTACTTATGTCTTTATCAGCTGTTTGAACTCTCATTCTGACGGCACCCATTCACTGCAGAGGACACATAGGTGAGCAAGCGATGTAATGCTAAATTTGTCCAAATCTGTTCTGATGAAGAAACAAACTCATCTACATCTTGCAATTTCAGCCATTTAAATTTGTGGGTGAACGATTCCTTTAAGTAAAAATATTGTTTTTCTGACTCACCATAGTACTGTACTGTTATATTTATTATTTATTTTCAAATTTATTTTAATCAAATTTTTTGTTATTTATTTTAACCTATTTTTTTATTTATTTATCTGAAAATATTAATATTAATTATTTAGTTTTACATTATTTACACTGTTGTTCTCTAAGCTTTTAAACGCACTCCCTTGCGCCCCTCAGTTTGAAAGCCCCTGCTCTAAAAAAGAGATTACATTAAAATGCAAAATACATCGATTTAATAAATAAATCATTTTGACTCAGGAAAGTCCTAATAATTGGGAAATGTCTTTCTCATGATTATGAATTATTTCAGTTTCGAAGAGAAAATGGTCAAATCCAGTGTGTGTGTGTGTGAGTTTATAAATTCTGTATTATTGTTTTCATAGTATTTAATGTATTTCAGAACTAAGTTCTACACTGTAATTACGTGAAACAATAACGAATCAATTTACACCAGAAAACACATATTTCATTATATAACGTGAATAAAGTATTTTAGATAAGACCGTACTGCGGTCATCAGCTAGCGCCATTCTGATCAAACGTGTTGTGACGCACATTTGATGCGTCGGAGTTCTGTGTCAACATGGCTGCACACGCTGGAGACAAGCGTGGTCTGGAGCATTTAGATGAATATGATCCAAAACCGGCAAAACAGCAAAGAAGTTTGCACGATCAGATGGCGGAAAAGCGTTTTGTTGTTGTTTTAGAAGGAGCGACGCTTGAAACCGTAAAGGTAAAGGACAACTAAGCACCGGATCGCGTGTTATTCACTGGAATTGCCACTATAACTTTAACAATAATGCTTCTCCTAACTGTATGTCTCAGTATTTAAATGTAAACGTATCTCTATACAGGTTGGGAAGACATTTGAGTTGCTGAACTGTGATCAACATAAGAGTATGATCATAAAAAGTGGAAGAGACCCTGGGAAGATTCGCCCTGATATCACACATCAGGTAAAGCTCTTCAACTCTTACCAATCATCCGAGTTAAACGTAGTTCATGTTACATTTGAAATGTAGTAATACGATCAAATACAAAAGTTTTACGTTTTTTTCACATTCACTTTTTAATGAGAAATTATTGATCAGATGCACTATGGTTTTAGTTGAAAAATAATAAGTTACAACTTATTATAAATATGTTTTGAATGCACTGAGAATAAAATGTAAAAAAACAAGCCATCTTGCAAAGATGTTCTGACAACTAAAACCATATGGTTTTTGTAGTTTAAAACTGAGAGATTTTTATTTGTGCCACATCTGTCCTCTGAATGTCTGCTTTCCCACAGTGCCTGTTGATGTTACTGGACAGTCCTTTGAACAGAGCTGGACTGCTTCAAGTGTACATTCACACAGAGAAGAATGTTTTGATCGAGATCAACCCACAGACAAGAATTCCTCGCACTTTTACACGATTTTGTGGACTAATGGGTAAATTCACTCCATTTGCACATTTACTGTAATCAAGTCAATTCAATTTAGTCCGTTTTGTATTACAGAAAATGCTGTAGTATCTCAGATTCAGAGTATTTTTTATCTTACTACTATTTGTCCTCCTATAGTTCAGCTTCTGCACAAGCTGAGTGTGAGAGCAGCTGATGGTCCTCAGCGTTTGTTAAGGCTGATTAAAAATCCAGTGTCGGATCACCTGCCACCTGGATGCCCCCGATATTCGACATCGTTCAAAGCAGGAGATGCTGTGTGTCCCAGAACAATTGTCCCTAAAGATGGACCTGCCACTGTTGTCATTGGTGCATTTGCACATGGAACAGTGAGTCTGTTCCCGCTTCTCCTCACAGCTAAATGAAATATATTCCCCATGCATAGAAAATAATTTCATAAATGTGAATTGTCATCGCTTTTGAAATAAATCACTGATCTGTCTCTCCGTCCTATCATAGGTGAATGCTGACTACACAGAGAAGACTGTGTCCATCAGTAACTATCCTCTGTCTGCCGCTCTGACCTGTGCCAAGATGTGTTCAGCGTTTGAGGAGGTCTGGGGAGTGTTATGACAAAACCAAACTGTTACGAACTTTCATGTTTCTGCCGGATTGAGGAACAGACCTTTGGACTGCGTTCTCTGTGTGTGTGTGTGTATGGTCCATTCCTTTGAGCAAAAATTGTGTTATATGACGTCAGAACAGAGGAGAATATTTCATGTATTATGACACAATTTTAAAGCAAACAGTTATACCCTTTAAAATTTGGGGTATTAAACCTCAATTCCTTTTTGTATAGGTTTATACATTTAATAATAAACCCAGATTTGCATTTAAAACTATTTCTGATACATGTAACAACACTTTGCCCTTTTTTTCTCCCTACAATAAACAAGAGCATGCAACAGCGTGCCACTTTTTCAGCCGCCTTTGTTTCCAGAAGCAATTTTCCATTTAAAACGTCCATGTTAAAGGAGTATAAGACATAAACAAAGCCAACCAGCTATAAGATGAATCAGAGCATTACATTACTATTAAGCAAAAAAATATTTGAAAATCAGGCAAAAAGACAAAGGTACAGGACTGTACTTAAAGCAGCACTATGGTGTGTGTGTGTGTATGGTCCATTCCTTTGAGCAAAAATTGTGTTATATGACGTCAGAACAGAGGAGAATATTTCATGTATTATGACACAATTTTAAAGCAAACAGTTATACCCTTTAAAATTTGGGGTATTAAACCTCAATTCCTTTTTGTATAGGTTTATACATTTAATAATAAACCCAGATTTGCATTTAAAACTATTTCTGATACATGTAACAACACTTTGCCCTTTTTTTCTCCCTACAATAAACAAGAGCATGCAACAGCGTGCCACTTTTTCAGCCGCCTTTGTTTCCAGAAGCAATTTTCCATTTAAAACGTCCATGTTAAAGGAGTATAAGACATAAACAAAGCCAACCAGCTATAAGATGAATCAGAGCATTAAGACACATACACTGTATGTATTTATGTAAACAAAATACAAAACCCCTTTTATTAAGCAGAAAATGTATATTTAGACGATGCAGTATATACATGATCAGAAATCAGTCTTTCATGAGCCGTCGTCCCCTTCTCGTACAGCCGCCAGTTCAGAGCAGCTCCGCGGAGTTCTCCAGGAGCGTGGCTCCCGCGTCAGTCTCAGTCTCCTCCACTTCATCCGCGGATTCGTCGCTCATCTCTGGATCCTCGCAATCTTTAGATTCGTCTAGCACAGATTTCTCTGTGTCGATGGGATCCAGGTAGTTACAAACTGCGCTCTTCCTGCCGAACGATTCTTCCTCGTGGAGAGCCAGCACCTCTATTCTGCTAGAGAGGGGCTCATCCTCCTTCCTCTCCGACAGAAACGTCCGCTGAAGCATTAGTTTCTTCATTGTGTGACATTTGTATTTAAGAGCTGAATTAGAACCTGCACCGTCCTCTTCAAAAATCACACATGTTCCGATGGCATCCTCGTACTCCCCGGCGAACAGATAGCGACCCACCTGCATCATGGGCTGCTCGCTGTCAATGTCCACTATCTTACACGTGCCCTGCCGACTGGAGATTAAATCAGAGCTGATCATCCCAGACAGTTCCGCCACAACCAGCTGCTCCTCTTCTTCCCATTCGTCCTCCATGGCTGTGTCTGAGGAAGCAGTTGCGCTCATTTTACTCTTTGAAATGTCATACTACTCATGAGCTGAAGCCCTCCGACAACTTCAAGTAGCAAATTGCTTTCGTAGATCTTCTTCTTCTTTCTTTTACTGGCAACCGCACTTAACAGTGCATTACTGCCATCATCAGGTATCTTGGATCAGAAACATTTCCTCTATCTCTTAACTCTTTTCCTTCATTCTTCCATACTTCTTCTCTTAGCACTTCTCTTTCTTCATCATAACCCTTACAATTAATAATCACATGTTCTACAGTTTCACTCTGTCCACATTTCTCACACAATCCCGTTGGATGTTTAGATATTAAATGTAATTCCCTATTCTGTCACAGAAATCTCTCCAATGTTGCCTTTTTTGCTTTCGTAGATTGTGCGCGACGGAAGTAGTGATCGAAGGTCCGGTTCATTTACATGAATCGATTCTTTTGAACAGTTCGGTGTAAAGAACTTTTAAAACACGATTCATTCGTACTTACCTATCTATCTATCTATCTATCTATCTATCTATCAGTCTTTTTTATTACTTCTTGATTAGTATGTTAGCCTTTTCCATTTACATCAGTTAGGACTTTAATATTACTTTGGCCAAAAACGGGTTTTGCACATTTAAATGAATAAATACTCTTTAAAATAAACAAACAATCTCTGTTTCATACGAATGTGTTACTCTGTTATTAAAGTAACTTTTCGCATATCCATTTAAACCTCGGTTCACCTGGGGAAAAAAAAACAAAAAACAACGGATTAGGAAAAGATCCGACTCCAAAGAATGAATCGTTCACCAATCGGTCATCGCCAGCAACTTCCGGAAATCCAACGTGTGCTGAAGTCACATGTGCGCTAGTTCCCTGCAGAGCGTGAGAGACACATGTACTCCGGCAACTTTCGTAAATTAAAGGTAAAATTTCTCTGTTTCCTAGAGAACATCGGGATAAGCGCAAGAGCGTGTTTTTGTTCAGCAGTAAGTATCTGATGGGTTTATTTGCTGAGATTTTTTGTGTCTTAATCGGTTCACAGTAAGCTAATCTTGTAGTTTGCAGCAGCGTGCTAGTAAACACTGTGCAAATACATCTTAATGTTTTCTATCTAAACATGATATTGAATTTGCTGTAATAATATAAACATAATGGCTTCGCATTTTAGTGGCCTTATATTAGTATTACCGATGTAAAACACTGGAAGCTGCTTCACTCTCTGACAATCAACCAGCCAACTCAGTAAAAGTTGTATTTGTCACGATTACAAGCTAGACATCTATTTTAATAGAAGGAACGCTTTGAAATTGTATAGATGAATATGTTTACATAAGAGTGTTATCATACAGTATGAAAGCCACATGGGACATGCCCTGGCAATCCACACACTGTCTAGGTTTCTGTTTTTCTAACCTTATAATTATGGTGTTTTCTATTCTGGTCAAATATCAACTTGTTAATTGTTCACTTGTATTGTTACCGTAGAGCAACGTTGTAGGTGTCAAGCATGGGCAGGAAGTTGGATCCCACCATTAAGGTGAAAAGAGGACCTGGACGGAAGGCCAGAAAACAGAAGGGAGCAGAAACCGAGCTGTCCAAGTTTTTGGTTGATGGTAAATAAAATTTCTCTGTTTCCTAGAGAAGATCGGGATAAGCGCAAGAGCGTGTTTTTGTTCAGCAGTAAGTATCTGATGGGTTTATCTGCTGAGATTTTTTGTGTCTTAATCGGTTCACAGTAAGCTAATCTTGTAGTTTGCAGCAGCGTGCTAGTAAACACTGTGCAAATACATCTTAATGTTTTCTATCTAAACATGATATTGAATTTGCTGTAATAATATAAACATAATGGCTTCGCATTTTAGTGGCCTTATATTAGTATTACCGATGTAAAACACTGGAAGCTGCTTCACTCTCTGACAATCAACCAGCCAACTCAGTAAAAGTTGTATTTGTCACGATTACAAGCTAGACATCTATTTTAATAGAAGGAACGCTTTGAAATTGTATAGATGAATATGTTTACATAAGAGTGTTATCATACAGTATGAAAGCCACATGGGACATGCCCTGGCAATCCACACACTGTCTAGGTTTCTGTTTTTCTAACCTTATAATTATGGTGTTTTCTATTCTGGTCAAATATCAACTTGTTAATTGTTCACTTGTATTGTTACCGTAGAGCAACGTTGTAGGTGTCAAGCATGGGCAGGAAGTTGGATCCCACCATTACGGTGAAAAGAGGACCTGGACGGAAGGCCAGAAAACAGAAGGGAGCAGAAACCGAGCTGTCCAAGTTTTTGGTTGATGGTAAAGGACACATTCTCTGAGCGATTTGTTTTTTGGTTTATATTTTCTTTTTTCACTTATTCATTATTTATATGTTTATTTTGTAATATATATAAAATGGACATAACAATGGTTAACCTCTATTCGCAGATGATGGGCCAAAAAAACTTACAAGCAGAGCGAGAAAACGGTACGTTTCTTTTAAAGGGGTCATATGATGCGATTTCAAGTTTTCCTTTCTCTTTGGAGTGTTACAAGCTGATTGTGCATAGATAAGATCCCAGAAGTTGCAAAGACTAAAGTCTCAAAACCAAAGAGATATTCTTTATCAAAGTTAAGACTCTGCCACGCCCCCCTAAAACGGCTCATTCTAACACGCCCCCACATATCTACATCACTATCTGGGAAGATTTGCATAACGCCGCCAAAATGTTCA